TGTGTGTGTGTGTGTGTGTGTGTGTGTGTGTGTGTGTGTGTGTGTGTCCGTGTGTGTGTGTGTGTGTGTGTGTGTGTCCGTGTGTGTCCTATGCCTGGTGGTGGCTCACGTTTATGTGGAAGTCAGTATGCCAAGTGTAGACATATTTATGAGACCATATGTTTTTACTGATGACAGGGGAGTTAATTATGCTATTTATTAAAATGTGAAAAGGGATTGACAAAATCCTATATTACATTTTATCTATTTTTTGGGGGGGGGGGGGGTTCTATTGGTAAATTGTTAATATAGCTGTTATTTTAGCAAATTGAATACTTGACCAATCAAGCCACTTCATTACAGCGATGCAAAAATCATCATAAAATGAACAGAAGTCGGTTTTGCACTGGTCCTTAAGTTCTGCTCATCAATTTACAACATTGCCCACAATCGTCTCCTACATTCACAAATATTAAAGGGATATCAAGCACAGTATAAACATTGTTGTTCCATTGATTCATGGTATAAATGATATTTGTCCTATATTTTCTGTGTATTCTGGTTTCTTGAAAAGACAAAAAAATGAAAATTGTTGAAATTGGCAGATAATTACACACTAATGACTCCATGTCTGGTGTTTATGTATATTTTGCAAGCAGATACTTCGGATTGTATTTTTATGACAGCCATATGATAATCTGTTTGTGTAAATGTAAATCTTATTTGGACAGATTGGAGATGTTTATTATGCTGATGCTTAAAACTACATGTGCCAATCTGTATCAGGACACAGGATGAATGAGCCAGCAAAACATTTCAACAATCGAAACTGTCCGTCCCAGATTTTTGTGTACGCTTGTGATTTATGGCTTTTGTTTGGGCTCTGCTGTGAAAACTGCATTTTCCTCAACTCTGTGTTTTCTGTCTCTCCCCAGAGGACCCGACAGAGAAGGAGAGGATCCAGCAGAGCGCAGAGTGCTGCAGAAAGATCCTCAACCATGTCAATGAGGAGGTCAAAGAGATGGAGAACCTATTGGTGAGAAACTTACAATCCATCACTCAACGCACAGTTATGTCGTGATTGAGCACCAATTGGAGTCTAGTAAATTCATTTTGAGACCTCTGAAGGTCTCTGCTTGTTAGACTACGTCTACTTCTGTGCTGTCTGATCATGTCTGACCCGCTAACCTTTCTCTCTGTTCCCAGACTCTGAAGGACTACCAGCGTAGGCTGGACACATCAGGGCTCAAACCCAGTAATGACCTGTATACAGAATATAAGGTAAAGTTCTTTCAACAATGTTTTGTTGCACACACTGTTGAACTTTACAGATTTTAGTTCTTTGACATTTGTCTTGCATATTATTCTCCCGCTGTCAATTCTAGAGCATCGACCTGACTCAGAAGAAGATGCTTTATGAAGGCCCTGTGACCTGGAGAGTCACAAAGGAGAAGGCAATCGGTAAATATCTGCTTGTGCGTGCAGTGCATCCATGCAAACTGCCTGGGATTATCAGTGTTCTGCTGCAGAAACGAGAACATTTCACAGACATTTAAAAACAATTCTGAATTCATTCAAATTAAAAAAATGTATCGGGCTCATGCAAATATTTATTATATGTAATTGATCAAATTCACTTAGATTAGCCATTTATGTTTCCAAAAGGCAAAAAACCCACTGTGGTGTATTTTGGGATATTGAGAAAATTATTGTCAGATATTTCTGTTTTCATTTCCCCTTTTCAAAATTTGTAGATGAAAGGAAGCCCAGCTGTGGTGTAGGTGATTTCTTTTGACATGCTATTGGCCCCTTCACTTCCTTTTTTATATTCTGTTAATTTCACTACCTTCAAACCTTAATTCAATTCCGTTCAATGTCATTCCTTTAGATCTGTCTGGGCAATTACATGCAGCCGGGTGACAGTTACAAACACACACACACACAATAGATAGGAGAAGAAAGAAAAACTATTGTTAATCACAAAACTAAACAATCTAAAGTAATGAAGCTGAATAACTAGGAGTAATTGAGAAGTCGGACAGCAGAGAACGTCCCTATCCTACCTGCCCTTTGCTGTCTTTCCCACTTCACCGTCCTGTTCCTTCTCCTCCCCGTCTCTCAGAGGTGCAGTGTGTGTTGCTTGGGGACCTGCTGGTGCTCCTACAGAAGCAGGACGACAAGATGGTCCTCAAATGCCAGAGCAAGAGCAACATCGCCGTGCAGGAGGGCAAGCAGATGCTGAGCCCCATCATCAAGCTGAAATCTGTCTTCCTACGAGAGGTGGCCACAGGTTAGACGCACAAAACACCACATTAGTTTCACACGCGGTCACTTCCATTGTGAGATCAATTTCATTCGACCTTCCAATTTCTGTTTTTTTCTGTCAGATCGGAAGGCCTTCTATGTCATTTTTACCTGGGACAGCGGCGCTCAGATCTATGAACTAGTGGCTCAGTCTCTTGGAGAGAGGAAACTGTAAGTGTTGGAGAGAGAGAGAAATACACAGATTAATCATGTTTGTTTCAGAGGATAAATCATAGGATGAATTGCAATCTGATTTGTGTGTGTTTTACAGCTGGACCGAGGTGATAAAGTCAGCAGTGGATGATCTGAAGAAGAGTGGAGCATCCATGAGGTTGACGCTGCCTCCTGGAGGAGCTCCCTTCAGTCCCACCACGTATGTGTCAGAGTGTGTGTGTGTGTGTTTTACTCGTCTGTTGAAAGAGCAAGCTGTATTCATCAGCTGCCAAAGTTCACCCATCGCAAAATATCTCATTTCTTTTGTCATTTTCTCTCCGTCAGGCTGACTGCCCCTTTGAGCCCGACTGAGAATGGGGGTCTGAAAAGCAGCAGTGGTGAGACGGCAACGCTTTATCAGCTGAACACTTAATAAATAGTACAAATTTGTTATTGTTACACAGTTCTGAAAGCTCCAGCCAAACTTAAGCCTTGTGTCTGTCTGTAGATCGAGATAAAGACAGCTTGACCGATGACAAGTCTTCAGACCCCAGGCACAGGCTGATTGATTTCCTGTCAGACAAAGGCTTCGACTTGATAGGCCACTCCAACAGCGATCAGGAGAATGTGGCCAACAGTGCTTTGGACGAAGGTGAATGATGGTGCTTCTATAGATGATTTTTGTATAACCGTCTTTCCTTTCTTTCACAGGAGCTTGCCTGTCTTTCTAATGAAACCACTGAATGTGTCTCCTATGTTAGTCATGTCTCTGAAGAGGCTGTTGGTCGGCAGCATCAGTCTATCGGAAGACTCGCAGCCTGATGGAGAAAACGGGGAGGAGCATTCGGAGAGGCCCAGTCGAGAAATGGAAAGCTGTCAATCGACAGGTAGGCTTTTGTGGAAAGTAAAAAAAAAAGTCAAATTTAGTGAAAATGGCGTGTTCCCGTTTTATAGGGGTAGTATTACAGACTTTTTGATGGCCGATGGCAGTGACTTCCTGAAATGAACCGTAAAGTTTAAGGTACCAGGCACTGCTCACGACTAAGAAGTGTCGTTTTTTTGGACGGATTAAAAAAATGTCTTTCCTCTGTCCATTACAAACAAAAAAATTCCTTCAGAATATAAAATAGACTGCATCATTTTTACATTTAAAGAGTTTCCTAAACATGAATATTGCATTCCCTAAAATAATGAGTTGGTATAAAGGACTTTGAGACCTATTTTACTGTAAAACATTACAGAGAAATGCAACAATATTAGGAGGTTACATTGTGACAACGAAGCTTTAAAATCCCCGGTTTTACTGATCAGAATGAACTGCAGTTCAAAACCAAACTGACTCATGACACATCTAAACTGACTCTCTTTGTCTGCAGAAGAAAGCCAGATCATAGACAAGGGAGCGGAGGAGGAGAACGACAACTCTTGTGAAAAAGAAGGTGCAGGGATGAAGGGGGAGGAGGAGAGGAGCATCAGTGCCCCCTTGGTGCTGTCCCAGGAGAGGATGGAGGAAGTGTGCAGGAGGCTCCACAGTCTGGAGGAACAACTAAAGAGACTACAGGTGAGGGGAGGTGAACACGGAGAGGAAGAGAGAGAGAGAGATAAAAAAGCTGGGAGCAGGTAGTATGACAGGGGCAGATAAAGATAAGAGACATAACAAAAGATGGGAGCCGACTGGAAAGAGGCACACACAGTTGGGCATCAAGGATTTCACTGAGGATAACTTAAGTAAGGAGCGAGCTGTGGTATACTTTGGACAAATGGGGCCAAAATGGCACAAAAGAGAAACTAGAGAATAGAAAACCATTTAACCACTGCTGTTATTGCTTGGCTGAAAATTGCCTTGTGAAATTGGACTTCTCTGAAAATGGCTATTATGTCCAGCGCTTGCGATGGGATGTGTCAGAAATGCAGCGAGGGAGACGAAGAGAAGATGTTAAGAGGAGGAGGAGGGAGGAGGCTGAAGTGGCTGCGTGTGCGTGAGGGGGTGTGGATGCGAGTGTCTCTCTTCAGTTCCTAAGGTGATATTGATTTTGTGTGTCGCAGACTGTAGAGGAGGAGCACCACAGGCTGCAGGAGGCCCTTTCCAAGTTCTCACTGGAGGGGGGCAACTTCCATTGAGACGCCATCACGCCACCTGCTGGCCACTAGGTGAGAACGCTCAACTGTATAAAGTTTTATTCTAGAAGCCCTTTTCAAGCCAGAGTTACAAAGGGATTTAAATGGGAAAATCAAGTTAAAACAATTCATCACTACAAATAAGATAAAATCAGACCACTAAAAGTACAGAGAATTAAATACATGTTTTTGAATAGCGGAGACATTGCTATTAAAAAAAACAACGTTTTTACACTCTATTATGAATGTAATGCAAATAAATGAGTGGTCTGCATGTCCTTCACTGGCACACATCTTCCACATAGCTGCAGATACAGACTAATATCCTTAGGCTCAGCTTATGTAAAACCCATAATATCCTTTGTCTTTGACACTAAGACTAAGCTGTCCATGCTGGACTTTCACTAGCATGCATATTTTAGTGACTTGACAAAAATAGGATTTTGAAGACATTTTGCTCCTTTTCATCATTATAACTTTACATGCTGTTATCTGACATTCAAACTTGTCTTTTCTTCTGTTTAGATTTTTACTGGTGCTAGTTTGGAGTGCAAGAGTGACTTTCAGAAGCTTCCCTGGAAATTCCTCATAAAGTCATACCTGGACCCTGTTGCTGCATTAGGGGCCTTTATGCTCAGTGCAGTGGTCCAGTGATGTCACATGGGAGGGTGTGTGTGCATGTGTATGTGTGTCTTTGTTTGTTTGTGTGCATGCTTGGTAGAGAGGTATACAAAAAAAAAAACCCAGGACATCCTACTTTTGAGTGGGGGATTGTTTTTTCAGAGAGGTGCCAAAAAAAACGGAAGCAATATTTTGCTGTGAGAGAGATGCTGCCTAATGAAATGTAGTGATTGCGATCTGCTGTAACACACATACGCACACCAGAGACATGAACGCTACCAAATAATTGACATTATTAGCAGATGTGCAGTAAAGGAGAAATCCTATGCCTTTGCCCGCCAGGTTAGCTATAACCAGGTGGAAGCCTTAAGGGGCCAATGTAGCGTTTGAAGATGTATTGAAATACTACTGCTGATATATAGTGTTATTTCTAGTCTATGCCAAAGTACCACAGAGATGCACTTTTTTTCCTGATCAAACTAAGATGAAATCACACTGTTTTTGCAAAATGTACTTACTCTCTATTCAGTATAGCTTTTGAACAGTTGTGCTTCATATAGACAGACCTCATTATTGAGAGGATTGCATGCAAGAAAGTGTGTGTATGTGTGTTACAAAGTTTTTAATTAAGGATGTGCTTGTTTGGAGGGTTGTTACTGTCATTAGGTCACACAGAAACATTTATAAATAGCGTCGCTATAGGTAATCATGCTGTTAATAATGGTGTATTTACCGCCTTTATTTATTCCTCCTAGTTCCGATGGGTCAGTGAGTTGCCTTGCCTTAGTGAAAGTGTTACAGCACTGGGCCCAAAGATAAATAAATGGCAGAGCTATGTGTTAGAGAAAAGACAAAATATAAGAAGGCAAACCCAGAATGTGCAACGAAGATCGAAGTAGAGAGAGAAGACGAAAGCTGAAGGGGCGGAGAGTGAGTTTAGAGGTTGCTTTGGTTTATTTGAAGCCGGCTTGAAACCAATGGGTCATGAGACGATGTGTAGAAAACATGAGATTAGGATTTGGCTCACTGTACTGAAAAATGTGAGCCCAGTGCTACAGAAGTGTTCACAAAGGTCATTCGATGCCAGCAACGGTTTTGCATTGTCACCTTTCCCCAGATTGAAAACACGGACGTAAGATGGCGTTATGAATTGTATTATATAACGATAGTTTCAGATGTTATTAGCAAAAGATTCTATTCTTCCCTGGTAGCAACTTTTGTATCAAAGCTGAGCTCTGTCTTTGTATTTTATTCAGCAGTTGATTGTAATTCTAATTATGATGATGATATAATTTGAGAACCAAAGACATAAAGCACCGTTAGAGCCTCATGCGAGCTGTAGTTCTCTTAGTGACATCTGTGTAGTAGCATGACATCTAATGCTAATGCAGGAGGGATCTCTCAGTAGCGCAGCCTGCTGCTGCTTTTCCTCTCCTCAAACACCAACATGTGGCAACTTAAGTGAAGGGATTTCAAAAGCACATAGAAGATTGAAGCATCGGTTGCGAATAAAAAACACCTGTTTTTGAATAAATGTAGATACCGAGATGAAGAATGTTAGACTGCCCTAGCCTTATTACCAAACCAAACCCAAACGATTGAGCTTTGATTTCTTGCAGACACTTCAGAATAATGAAAAGGTTGTGTTAATACGTGTGAGTATAGGCCGGTGTGACTGCTACAAGCTGGACGAAAGAAAAGGGCAACAAGACAGTGAATCCAGATGAGGACACAAAGGAAATGTTGAAGGCTTGCAGGAAGGGAAACTGCTGTCTCAGTCTAGCGTCGCTCTCGCCCAACACTCATGATCACTTCCTGATATGCATTCTCACCCGTTGTTGCCACAACAACAACCCCCCCTCTCCCCTGTTGACCCCACTGAACCTCAGTGTGAACTTGTGCAAATGTTGGGGCCGTTAGTCAGTTTGTGTTTGAACATTGCTGCCTTATCTCCCCATGTCTTCCTCTTGTAAAATGTACATAGATGTTTAGCTTGAAGGAAAAAAAAAAAATGTAAAGAACGCATAAATTTGAAATTTTCTTTTATTGAGCTTATTAGCTACATACACCTCTTGATAACACCCTCACTTGTGATAGCATGATCACCTTTTCCTACTGCACAGTTTTACCATATGTTGTTGTGTATTTCATTTGATTTTGTTAAACGGGTCGGGGAGGGTGGTTTTTTTTTTTACTATTTGTCTATTGTTCTAAAACAAACGTTGTAATTATGTACTATGCATTTGGCCATAACGGTAAGAGAGACAGGACTTGTCTGTAACTTGTCTATGCATGAATGAATTTAACAATTATGCAAACATTGTGACGATGATTCTTTTTTTTTTTTTTTTTTTTTTTTAAGTGTTCAACCAGAGATTTTTACTTGTCAAACTGCAGTGATCAGCTGGCGAAAGCCAGTTAACACCAGCTTACAGTGACACCTTCACTTACTGGCTGAACGACTGCTACGGGCACTTCTTGCTCTCTCTCCGCAGGATGCTTTTCCTCATGCATTCTATATACAAATACTTAGATGTATAGAAAATGTATTTATAGAGTGGTGCCTTGTTCCAACGATCAAGTTGTTTTCTTGTTGTTTTGTTATGGGCTATTTTTCAATGGAGGACTGAAATCGACCTCTGAGAGTGAGAGACGTAGACAAAATGACTGACTAATAACGGCTGAGAGATCATCCCAGGATTCAGTTTTTGTGTCCAATACAGCAATAGATTTTGAGCCCTCCACCAACTCAGCCAGCCAGGGCCCTGTATAGAAAAGACACTGCTCCTTGTCATACAGGCGCCTGCCATCATGTCTATAAACAATGAATATGCAAGAACTATACTGTGTATTTGGGTTTTGATTCTTTTATCAACTAAGAGGCTCTTTAATGATGTATACTTAAGGAAAATTGTGGTACGTTCTGTTTTTTTAAATCTTCATTTTTTAAATAAATTGGGGTAATGAATTCCTGTTTTGTCATTCTATATAGTTATGAGCCAATACTATACCTATGTAAGAATAACTCTTGAGCTAAAGGTTTGGGGCTCAAAGTTAGACTCTTTATGTTGATTTAAAAAAAAAAACAACATATCCTGTATATTCCTTTTAAAATACAGAAATATTATGAGAGCCTACATAGACATTTTATATACTGTGTGTGTGTATATATATATATATATATATATATA